GCAGATTTCCCAGACAATCTTCTTCCAATTTCCTGCATGGGGGATCAAGGCCTAGCTCTGATTCTTTTGGAAAACTTGTTGTTGTTGTTGTCAGGTGCCATCAAGTCGGAACCGACTCACAGTGACCCCATGCACAGCAGAACGAAACAATGTCCAATCCTGGGCCAAGCTCACTACTGCTCCCACACTTGACGCCATCAATGATGCCACCTGGCTGATCCATCTCATTGGGCGTCTTCCTCTCTTTCTCTGACCCTTCATCTTACCCAACATGACATCCTTCTCTAGTGACTGTTCCCTCCTGACAATATGTCCAAAGTATGAGAGACGAAGTTTACCCATCTTGGCCTCCAAGGAGCACTCTGACTGCACTTCTTCCAAAACAGATCTTATTGGTTCTTTTGGAAAACTAGTAAGGGATATATATGACTTATTCAGTTTTCCAAACACTGGGTGGGGAAGGGGCATTCATTTAAGGCAGAGGTGGGGAACCAAATAACCATTTATATATTTATAACATCATTCGTAGGCCATAAAATATTATCAACTTAAAAATTAGCCTGCTATATTTGGTCCAACAAGCTCTGGTAGCATAGTGGTTATGAAGCAGGCTGCTAATCTCACGGTCAGCAGTTCAAAACTATCAGCTGTTCCATGGCAGAAAGATGAGGTTTTCTGCTCCCGTAAAGATTTACAGGCTCAGAAACCCTGTACAGGGTCGTTATGAGTTGGAACCGACTCCATGACATATAACAACAACATTTGGTCCAATATTTAATTAACCTACCTCTAATTGTGGGCTAATGTGTCAGACTGCAAAGTCATATGACCTGCAAGGTCGGTGGTTCAAGCTTACCAGTTGCTCCTTGGAAACCCTATACAGGGTCACTATGGGTCAGAATTGACTTGACAACAATTAACAACAATGTGATAGCTGGAGTGCTGATTTGGTGTTGCAGAATAATACGCTGGAACTACAAGGTCAGTTTGAGCCGCAAGGTCGGCAAGCCTATACAGGATCGCTGTGAGCTGGAACCGACTTGAAGGCACTTAACTTAATAACAACGTGATGGCTGGAACTCAGTTACTTTGACAGACCAAATGATTTCTGGGGCCTTGTATGGTTTGTGGGCCAGATGTTCCCCACCTGAGATAAGGGGAGGGAACCTAGGGTTTTAAAAGCTTGTTAGATGTCTTTCAAAATGCCCTGGTAGTACAGTGGATTAAGCTCACAGCGATCCTGTATAGTATTCCATACGAAAAAGATGAGACTGTCTCTTCCTATAATAATTTACACTCTCAGAAATCCTAAGGGCAAATTTATTGTCTTATAGAGATGCTATGAGTTGGAACTGACTTGGTGGCACTGGGTTTTGTTTTGTTTTATAAATGTCTTTCAACTAAGCCTACTCATTTTAGTGTCTTTCCCGTTGTCTCCAAACGAGGTACCTGGTATACTGCTAATTCCTGAGCCTTTTGAGTCTTGTTGTTGTTGTAAATTGTCATCAAGTTGGTTCCGACCCATAGCGACCCAGTGTAGGGTTTCTGAAGAGTAGCTGGTGGGCTTGAACCATTGACCTTGCAGTTCAAACCAACTTTGCAGTCCAGCACATTAACCCACAGCACCACAGCAGCCTTATGTAGTATAAATGAGATTGGCTCTTGATTTTCTCATCAATAAAACTGCTAGTTCACATCGCTTTCTAGTATCCAAAATAGTTGTTGCATCAATGTGGACTTATACTTAAAACAAACTAAGTTTAAAGTATATTAGAAGCAAAACACCGCTCTTTTATACTAGGCTTAGTGGGGTTTTGAGAAGAAACCAAAATTAGATGTGCAAACTGGAATTTTTTTATTTATTTAAATCTTCTCAAATCAGCCAGTGTAAGCTCATGGATCCACACCAAACATGGGGATGGTGCATGGTCAAGTAGCATTTTTTTGTTGTAAAGGGGTCACCAGACCAATTGCTAACAAGTGACTTAAATCCACCAGGAATTACTCTTTAACAGACAGAATATTTGCAATTATTCTAATGTTAGTTTAGTTTAGAGAGTGTCTTGATGACTTTGGGTAAATTGCAGACACATGAAATAGGGACAAGAAATCCCTAGACTTCTTTATATTGCTGTAATATTACATAAAAATAGGTAAAATGATGTGTGTCCATTCAAAAGGAAAGTGTTGTATAAATCTTTTAGAAAGATACATTCACAACTAATAAGCTCAATTATTTTTCTTGCAAAAATAATAAATTGAGTGATATCGCTATTCTCTCTTACACTCTTTGTACCTTGTTTGCAAGACAGCTTTTGGGTACAGGTTTTTATGTAAATTGGATATACAGATTTATGCGTGTGGCGCTGTGGGTTAATGCGCTGCACTGCAAAGTTGGTGTGAACTGCAAGGTCAGTGGTTCAAGCTCACCAATTGCTCCTGGGACACCCTACATAAGGTTGCTGTGAGTCAGAACTGACTGGATAACATTTAACAAAGACAATAGACAATTTCCTGATGAAATGTAAACAAAGAAAAATTCCCTCTATTCTAACCAAAGCAATGAAGACTTTATCTTGTGTGCTCTTTGAACATGTGTGAGTATGTAATTGTATATGAATTTTTAACAGAAATGTTTTAAATCTCCTTCCAGGCATGTGGATTCTGTTAATAGCAAGATAGCAGGCCACAGCATTCAGAAGAGACAGGAAATTGATATCCCTAAAGAGACAGGAAATCAGATTCTACTTGAGAGGGTGAGGCATCCAACTTCTGATGAAAAACAACTTTTGGTAACACAGAACTATCACCTTGCAAGTGTTTGGTAAATATTAAGCTTTATTTTTACACTTTAAAAAGGCTTAAGGAATCCTGCCAATAGCTTGCAGTTCTTTTGTAACTCCAAAGTGCTGATTCTACTACTACTTACTACGATTCTAGGTTCTATGTGTAACTAGGTTCTAGTTACATCTCTTTCCCAAACTATTTAACATCAGGCATGCTATTCAGGCCTGTTTTGAACTTCCTTTTCATCTATAAAACAATAATCCCAATCACTCTTTCACCCCTGATTTCCTGGCATAAGAGCAAAAGTAATTGAATCCTTAAAGCAATTTAAATATAGTTTCATACTAATATACACATTTTTTGGTGTGGGTGCCAGAACTGAGTCTGCATACTCATCAACTATATGGAAATCTTTCCTGTAAAGTATTAATTTTATCAAGAAATACAGAACTAAAAGTCATTTAATGTTAATGCACTTTTTTCCATTTCATATTGTCAGGTAATATAAAACCCCCATCTAAATCAGTTTTTTTAAGGAGCTCTGGTAGCTAGCGTAGTGGTTATGAATCGGGCTGCTAACCGCAAGGTCGGCAGTTTGAAACTACCAGCTGTTCAGTGGGAGAAAGATGAAGCGTTCTGCTCCCGTAAAGATTTACAGCCTCCGAAACCCTGTGCAGGATCACTAAGAGTTGGAACCACCAACTCCATGGTATTTAACAACAACAAATCTGTTTTTAGATTAAACTATAATGAAAAGACTTTTGGGAGGGGAAAGGAGTTCTGGTAGCGTAGTGGTTACAAATCGGGCTGCAAACCTTAAGGTCAGCAGTTTGAAACTACCGGCTGCTCCGTGGGAGAAAGATGAGGCTTTCTACTCCCGTAAAGATTTACACCCTTGGAAACCCTGTA